GGGGGGGGGGGGGGGGGGGGGGCAGCAGGGAGAAGGAGAGCAGGGGGAAAGGTAACAGAGGTTGGGGCCCAGCGGGTCCCCTGCCTGGGGACCTCCCGGCTGAGATAGGACACACACAGGGGCCGTGGGACCCCCCTCCCGCCCCTCAGTGGGAGCGAGAGAGGCAGGCCTCCCTCCCCTCTCTTTGCAGAGCCAACGTGGCTCCATCCAGCAACGACCTGACTTAGCGCCATCCTCCCCCCAGGCTGACCTCCTTCCCGCTCACCCCCCTCAGCTCCGAACGCCCTTTCCAGAGGTGCCACTGGTTCTTCGGGCCACGCCTGCCGGGCCTCTGCCTGCTCCCGGGGCCCAGGGGAGGGAAGCGAGGGGCCACGGCTCCCTTCTCCCCCGCAGGCCTGGCTCCGGCTCCCAGAGCGAGGGAACGAGGGAACGATGGGTGTGTGTGCCAGCTCCGTGTCCCGGTGCCAGCCCGTGACTCACTGCCACCCGCCCCCCCGGGAGATAGGAGGGTCCCAGGGGGGCCCCAGGCGCTCCCCCAACAAGAACAGACGGCATCGCACTTGCCGAGGGACAGGACGTGCCTGAGAGCGAGCAGGAGGGAGCTGCAGCGGGGCAGAAGCGCCTGCTGCCCAGGGCCCGGGCTGCGTGGGACGGGCTCCCGTTTGTGCTGATTTCCCCGCGTCTCAGAGGCCTGAGGTCCCTCCTCCAGGCTGAGGGGTGGGTGAGGCCTGGGCACGGGGTTCCCCGTCTTGGCCCAGGTGGCCCGCTGGCCTCAGGTGGATCGCCAGCTCAGACCAGCTCCTTGTGGTCCTGACGTCCCATCGCCCGTGTCCTTGCTCAGAGAAGTCAGAGAATACAGCCCCGGCCGGTGTGGCTCAATGGGTAGAGCGTCGGCCTGCGGACAGAAGGGTCCCGGGTTCGATTCCGGTCGAGGGCACGTGCCTGGGTTGCAGGCTCCTCCCCGGCCTGGGCCCTGGACGGGGCGCGTGCAGGAGGCAACCCATCGATGTGTTTCTCTCACATCGATGTTTCTCTCTGTCTTTCCCTCTCTCTCCCACTCGCTCTAAAAAGCAGTGGAGAAATATCCTGGGGTGAGGATTCGCAAATAAAAAAATAGAAAATAAATGGTGGTGGGACCAGATGACCCCGAGCCTTGCCCCCCCGCCCCAGCCCAGCGCCAGGCTCCACGCTGCTCCTGGCCACAGGGTCCGCTCCCCCCCACCCAGCGCCCAGCCCTGGGCCTCGAGTGCCCCCTCCCAGCAGCCTTTGCTGAGAAAGGGCCTGTGCTGTCCAGACCCCTGGTGAGGGTGGGGCAGAGCTGCCCGCCACCTGCCCGGTCCCCCTGCCACCGCTGACTGCCCAGCCCTGACCCCAATCCCAGGAGGGTCCACGAGGCGCCAAGGGGGTCAGCGGACAGTG